CGTCCGAACTTGCGAAACGCTGCAGAGAAGCGATAAAAGAAGACCTTAAAGAGAGAAGAGCAGCAGTTATAGCAGAAGCTGCAGAAGCCGGGAAGAGCATTCGCAAAGCTCAGCGAGGCTTCGCCAACTATAAGACCAAGATGATTGCACTCCGTCCGATACCCTAATGGGACACTGACAGCTTCGAGAAGGGCTATGGAGAAAATCATCCACCAATACTACTCGGATCTCTTCGCTAGCCATGTCCTCTTACCGTCATATAAATTGAAAGAGGACGAATATGTAGTTCCACCGGTCCTCTCCTCCGAAATCCGACATGCTATATCGTCGGTGAAAAACAGAACAACACCCGGTCCAGACAGGATTAGACCAGAACACCTGAAGAACCTACTGCCAGTTCTCTTCAGCACCGCGGCTCGGCTCTTCACTCGCCATCTTTCAAAATTCAAGGTTCAATGGAAAACCAGCAAGACCGTGTTGTTGTTTGAAAAGGGATACCTTCTCGACATAGGCAATTACCGTCCAATCTGCTTGCTGTCCGTTGTCAATAAACTCTTTACTCGAGTCATCCTAAACAGGATTGACAGAACACTGGACGAAGGACAGCCATGCGAACAAGCAGGGTTCCGAAAAGGATTTAGTACCATAGACCTCATCCACACGATCACAAGACTCATCGAAGTTCAGCGAGAGTACAAACAACCACTCTGTCTCACTTTTATCGATCTGAAGAAATTCTTTGATTCAGTGGAAATAGAAGCGGTCATAGAGGCTCTGGATAACTAGGCATCCCTACTCGTTACATAAAGATCCTTCGTGAGCTTTATAAAGATTTCACGACCAAAATATCTCCATTCTACAACATTATCACTATTGACGTAAGAAGAGGGGTTCGACAAGGCGATACAATTCCGCCAAAACTATTCACTGCCAGCCTACAGAACGTCATGCGAACATTAGAATGGGACGATATGGGAGTGAAAATTGACGGTCGACAATTAAACCACCTTCGCTTTGCTGACGATATCGTTCTCATAACACCAAACATCAGTCAAGCGGAACGAATGTTGACCGATTTCGATAACGCCTGTGGAAAAATTGGTCTTCGAATAGATCTAACGAAAACGATGTACATGCGGAACGGATTAATGCCCCATTTACGCTCAACGGAACGACAATCTCCGAATGCTCCAGTTACGTCTATCTAGGTCGGGAAATCAACATGATGAACGACCTAGCTCCAAAGCTGAGCAGGAGGAAACGAACCGCTTGGGGAACGTTTAAGAGCATCGAAGATGTAGTGAAGAGGACAAGAACATCCGACTCCGTGCCCACCTTTTCGACTCGACAGTTTTCCCGACAGCCTTAACGTATGCAGCAGAAACCTGTTCGCTACGTAAGCAGGATGAAAGATCACTTGACGTTATCGAACGCGCAGTCGAAAGGTCGATGTTAGGAGTATCCCGTATCTCGCAAATAAGAGAAAGGATCCGAAGTTCCGACCTACGTCAACGATCGAAAATCAGAGACGCCGTCCTACACGCCAGGATATCAAAAATAAGGTGGGCCGGACACGTGATGCGCTTCAACGACAACCGATGGACGAGAGCCGTTACCGACTGGATTGCTCGGGACATCAAGCGCACTAAAGGAAGACCACTGACCGGCTAGTCCGATTTCTTCACGAAAGCGATAGAAGAAAGATATGATGCTCAGCGAATCCCAAGATTGAGGAGGACCCACTGGGCTGCTCTTGCACACAATAGGGAAAAATGGAAGAGTTGCTGGTACCCGCTCGAGTCACTCGACGATCAACGGGACGACAGGTGGCAGGTGATACAGGTGATATACCGCGTTATGAATTCCTCACTGGAGATTGTCTCCTCTAAGGATTGTAGAAGCGACTGCATGGTAAAGGATGAACCTGCTGTTGCTTAACTAGCCAATACTTTCCTTTGCGTTTCGGGTGGAATTGGTAATACATTGATAAATATATGACTGTTGGTATGCTCATCCTTTTGAGCTAACTGGGAGAGTATGGCCTGTACGTTTTTGAATAGTACCCTTTGGTCATTTATAGCCTTTGAACGAAGCGAAATTCTAACTTCTGAAGCAGTTGGGCGAAAAACGCTTCTACATTTGCCTATTTGGAGGTGAGAGCATGGATGGCCTCTTGATAGTTATCACTGGTGATTTGGAACTTTTTAATGGCCTAGAGGGGTTCGTCCTCCAAAGAGTAAATAAATAGCTGAACTTTTAGTTTGAGACATTTTGTGACTGGACGTTTGAATTGTAGAGTTCCCAAAAATTGTCACAATCCCAGATGTCGCCATTAAATGTGGGGATAGGAGTCGTTGGAAGTTCCATTTTTCAAACAATGGGTGTTTTCGTAGTTTCCTCTTTTTTAGTTGGCAACTGGGAGGTTTGTGAATGCTCCGCTTGCTGCCGTAGTGAGTCGATTTGCGTTAGCAAAATGGCCGTATACTCAAAGAGTCGTCTAACAGTTGTCGAGAATAGGTCAAGGTGTCCCTATAATCCTGTTCAACATTATCTGGGTCAGGATATATTTCCTCTAGTTTCTCAAGAAAAATATTTAGGCCTTTTTGCACGTTGCTTCTCATTTTCTCAACTACAGATAATCCAGCTTCACACTGGACCCTTGCGGCAGTGAGGTTCTGCAATGTTGTGGAATTCTGTATTTGTATCTGCCTTGTTTAAATTTTACCAGCGCTTTTTCGAGTTGCTCAGAGGCTTTTACGAGTACCTCATTTTTGTAAGAAAGAACAAAACTATGTGTTATAGCTGCTCTAGTATGTTTGAATTGAATATTTGATATGGATTTCGGAACGGGTAACTTGGTACCTGATTCCTTTAACTGCAAGTTTCGTTGGCGACTCGTATTCGAACAAAGTCGGCCAATGCAACAAATGTGGTGAAGGTTCAGTGGTTTTGTTGTTTCGATCTGCTGCCAACTTGTGTCTCGCAACGGACAAGAGAGCAGAGTTTAAATCCTTTATATGGATTATACCAAACAATAGGATGGAACCAAATAATGGCGTGTTACCAAACAACCTATAATATATTCGAAATTCTATTATTTCACAGCTTATTTCGCAGTGATATGATCATTTACATATCCCTAAGAAACTGAGTGGTGAGCAAAAAACACGACCTCAGGCGGGAATCGAACCCACTTTTCATCCTATCCAGGGACGCAGTGCTCTACCACTACACCACTGAGGCACATTTGCCCGAGCACTCATTCTCCAACATCTCAATGTTAGCTGTCAGCCACCAACCTTTGACAGGTTTGGTCGGGTGTGCGATTTCGCTTTATAAACCCAGTTGAGCTGATAGCTATTCTATTTACTAATATTCGAAATTTCTATTATTTCACCGCGTCCCCGGACAAGATAAAACGTGGGTTCGATTCCCGCCTGAGGTCGTGTTTTTGCTCACCACTCAGTTCTCTTAGGAACCTATAATATACATACATTACTATAATAATAATATAATAATGATATATTCATGATTAC